ATACATCTTGGAGAAGTTTTCTACATGGACTGATCTGGAATTCCGTAATTTAGAGGATGGAGGACTAGAGAGGTAAGCGTTTCCTCTCATGCCATTTTTGATGAGGTAACTAAGCCCAGAGTCATAGCTAAAGAAGTTTGAATTGGTTGCCTCACATCTCGTAGGGAGGTGCGGTGCTGTACTACAGCATGCAAAGAAGGAACTAGGCTGTGAAGGCTAATGTACTTACTCCCTTCCCACTTTGATCTCCTAGAGAAGAGATAGAGCCTGCAACTTCTGGGTATTAAAAACTGACTTAGGTGGAAGAATCTCATTAGGACAGAAAAACAAAAGTTTAACCTACATTAAGATGCTGGGAAACAGAACTCATGATTCATTTTAATACTAATACTTCACTCTCTATGAATTTGGTTTAGATTGATCAGTATTGCTTCATCTATCTACTGTTTGCTAATAAAGGATCATTCTTAGTGTGCAGCGGAAATCTGAGATGAAGTCCCCTTTGAAAATTGCTGAGGTACCTGGCAGGAATGGAATGAAGGGGCATGTTATGAAAAGGTCCAGTGACAATGGATTTTAATAGAATGTTTGCACTGCATACAGCTAACAATTTGATAGGAAACACGCACTATTTACAGCACATGTTGGTGTGATGGCTCCACTGAAGGCTTAGGGTAGCATTTTAAATTATGAATAATAAATGGCACAAGCTGTTCCGTGTGCTCTTCTGCTCCTACCCTCCTAGTCTATGGACAGTATAGAAAGCTATGCTGGAGCATAAGGTGCTTGTTGGAGTCTGCCTTCTGTGTAGGAGTTAAAATGTCACTTCCCAGTTTGTGTCTGAAAGCCTTTAACATGCTTAATTGGTCACTGACAGACAGAGGGGGAGTAACACACTTCACCTGTCAACGATTCTTAACCAAGTTAACTATTTTTTCCTGCAACTTATTTTTCTTACAACCAAACCAAAGTCAAGTCCCTGCTAAAAGTAATGCAAAATGGTATTCAGTTCCAACTAAGTAATCTCTGGGCTTACCTATTCAGGAAGTTTAACCTGGATGATCTGCTCACCAATATCATGATCTACTGGGTGTCAGGCTGTATAGTCTCCTCAATGCGTTTCTACAAAGAAAATTTGCAGAAGGGGATAGGTACACAGAAACATGACAGGTAAGTGGTTTTTTTCTTTAAATATTTTGCCCTGAACTTAATTTTATGGTTGCAGACAGGTTGCTTATGTCTTATAGCTGCTGAAAGTTTCTGAGTGCTGAGGAAAAGCAATGCTGTATCACAGTGTTTCTCTGCAGGACAGGTCTGTTAGTTGATATACTGTGTTGCACTTGGAAAACAGGGTAATTAGGTAAGAATCCTGAACCATCAGTCAGGAGATCTGATGGGAGGCACTGCTTGACAACCTCCCGTTCATGGTGTATCTAACTAGGGAAAAGCACGTACAAGTACTTCCAGATTTTACTTCAGTTACTAAATTAGCCTGTGACAGAGTCATGCAGTCAATTTTGTTTATAGTTTATTTGGTTTGCAGTTCTAGTACTTTTCTGGACAAAGTTTGCCTATTTCTGCAAAAGATTTAAGTCCTACCTTTGGAAGCAACTTCAGTATACTGACAAACTGCATAATATGAAAGTCAGTAAGACTGATGTTCCTGCTGTGCAGACACTTAAGATAGCAGTTTGGTTGCATATACTTGTGTCAGCTTGAGTATTAGTGAAGGCTTAAACCTGCCCTGAGGTATCTGCAACCACAGCTCACTGCTGTGGTATTTAGCTGTGAAGTGATGCTCCCAGGAAGCTGACTCAGTTCTTGAAGCTGTTGTGGCTACACTGTGGGCAGTATCCTGCTCCAGTTCTGCCTATGTGAGATGAGCTTCTATGTGCCTAAAGGAAAGAGTCTCAAAGTCCTATGTAAAATTAGGCACCCTCTTTTCAGGCTTCCAGTGGCTACGTGTCCAACAATTTTTATATCTAAATTTTCAAGTCTGTCACTGCTGACAATGCAGCTTATGTGTACAGGATATTTAAACCTAGAAAATGTTGCTCTATTTATAACAAGCCCAGATCATTCCACTTTCTAAGATACTTTCCCCCTTAAATCCCATTGCTTCCCTACCCTGTTTCCCTAATGTGCAAAATGTTTTGTAGAGTGCATTTGTGCCAGTTAAAAGCAAGAGCTACTTTACAGAGTCAAGTCTTAACGTTCAGAAATGTTTCCTCTGAACTAGTCTAGATTCACTCTCTATCATTCTTCCCCTCTCCTCCCCCTTTGCAGCAGTTCAACATAATTCTTCCCCTGCCTACCCTCCAGTTGTCCTGCCAGGCTCAACATGTTCTAGTTGTAATCTTCACTGTACATCTCTCTCCAGCCCTTGTCAAATTGTGTGCTTTCCCCTCAATACGTGACTCTCGAGCACTCAATGCAGCATGAGGAAACTCAATACCTACCACCTCCTAGGGCTCTCTTCTCAGTTTCCATGCTTCTACCTCTCATGCCCTGGATCCCTTGCAGAATTGCCTTAATATCAATGTATGCAGAAATTTTAATTTTTTTTTCCCAGGAATGGGAGTGTTGTCTAGTCTTCAAATTTAAGATCTGGAAGTCAAATTTTAATTGCCTAACACCAGTGTGCCCAACTGTTTAAGAACAACATTTCCTTGGGACTTTCCATTTCTTGCAGAGTTAAGTATTTGAAAGATTAAAATTATTCCCTCTTTTCTCGCAGGCTCGCAGTACAAGTACCTACTGGCATTGCCTCCTTCCCTAATGAAGTCATGCACACACCCCAGGCTTGGGCCCAGAAGAAATACACCAACATAGTTTCCTTCCATTTCATGCCTCGAGGTGGCCACTTTGCAGCTTTGGAGGAACCTGAACTTCTTGCTGAAGATATTCTGCAATTTGTTGGGAAAGTAGAGAAAGAGCAACTTTGGAGAAAGAAAGGAGACTAATTCCCCTAACAAACAGCAGGGTTAACTGCTTTTAGCTTAGCACATGTACAGGCCTTACTAAGTCTACTGTAATCCATGTAATTAGATCTTATTCTTGACCAGATGTGAGAGAGGACAGCATGAAGAATGCAGTATTATCTCAATGAGATACTGCTGTGGGGACCTGCGGATTTTGGGTTGGTTTTTTTGGGGTTTTTTGTTCAGCTAGGCTAAGAAAGTAGCATGAAGATTACTTTATCTTCTCCCCCAAGCACAGACTTGTAAAATCTGTTCTGTAGTATTCCTGACTCTTGCTTTGAAATTGAAAAATAGACCTTACAACTAATAACAGTTTATTGTTATGAAAGGCTTTTTTTTCACAGCAGCAGTAAAGCTTGAGTTGGTGTAGATGTGAGGTTCCTCACATAAAGAATGGGAACAGCCTAGCAAGACCTAACTTGCCTGAGTGCATCGGTTAATCAGCATCGATGATCTATAGTACATTTAAACTGGCCAGCTGGCTGCTGCTGGCTGCTTTTCTCTTCCAGCCTGGGCTGTTGAGCTGCTTCCTGGCTGTGAGGAAGCTCAGCTCCCCTGCGCTTGGCTCCTGGGACAGCAACATGTGAGGAACAGCTGAAAGAAAGACACAGGCGCCTGTAGCTCAGACCCCAAAAGGAGGGACTGAGTAGGAGCAATAATTATAGCCCAAGCTACCTCTGCACCGAATTTGTACTTTTAGCTAAAATCATAGCCCTGGATAGGCTCAAGACACTGTGGCTTTGCACTGCTTCTGCAAGGTACTGTATTCTTACTAAAAAGTAAAAATTTGACTAATCCAAAATTAGAAGAAACTTGCATTAAAATTTTGAATAATACCTGTGTGTTTCTTTTAAATTTTTTAATAACTGAGATTTTGCTTGGTGACATAAAAGAGAAACATCAATTCAAAACCTATTGATTCTGTACTGCATCTGTTACAAAGGTCAGACTGAAGGCAAACTGCTCAAAGAAAATTGTATTTGAAGGGCTGTATGTTTTTGCCAGCAACGGTCCCTAGTGTATGCAGTAGTCTTAAACTGTATCCAGATGACCGATTTCAGGATAGTTTTGTTCTCCAGTCACTTCTGATATACTTCCCTACCCCTGCAAGCACAGGGAAATATGGATTAGTATTATTTCACCATATTAATTGAAATGGAAGCTGTTAAATAGAGTCACTCCAGCAGAGAGAGCCCTGCTCCATCCCACAGGGCTTTAGACTCAAGAATACCACGTAGTTTGTTTCACAGAAGGCAAGTTAATGCTCCTGCTGGGCACATTTGAATCTTGCTCAAAGCCCCCGATATACCATGGCAGAAAATCGTTAGGGCAGCCTGGATCAGTTTTGTGAGCAGAGGCAAGACCTCTCACTACCTTTCCTCTGCCTTCTGTGCTTCTGCACCTGGGTGCCAGCAGCAGAAGGCACAGTAGCTCTCAGGTCTCCCTACAAGATTTGACTGCAGTACTGCCTTAAAGAATTCAAGTATAGCTTGAAGGTCTAAGATGGCTAACTGCTTCCACATTAGTAGCGAGCACTAATTCTACATTTACTTGTAAATGCTTTATTTAATTAGTCAAAATTTATGTTCTCATTTGCAAAATATTGTGTGGTTCAGGCCAGTCAGGAAGAAAATACAGAATCATTCACTTTGTCTAAAATAGACTCTTCTCAGAGGAGACCATTCCCAAACTTGTTTCAGGTGTGGTATATTGAAAAAAGGTTGCTTATTCAGGAGGAACCAGCTCACCTCTGACAATGACAGCTGTTTACAGGCACCACTGTGCTCCCTCTTGCACAAGTCTTGATCTCTGGCCGTTTGGTTTTGCCTTACTTCTGTCCCCTGTGTGGCCTTATATTTCAGAGCTGAAGATCATCCCTCTCATCTTTAATGCACATGCAGACATCTGCTGTGGTGCTAGGGAGCACTGCCATATACTGATATAACTGAATACTTCCCCAGGGACTGTTCAGTCACAACGCAGATAAAGTAAGTGGGAAGGAAGTTTGCTATACGATACCTGCCAAACCGATTTTCAGATGTGAGTAGAAGGCTCGAAGCAGTTTCACTCTCCCTTCTGGAGCAGATCTGCTTGAAGGGGCCCAGCCTTGATGAAAGGATGCACATCGGGATTCTGTTTTGTGATCTTATGTTACAGCAGCTCACCCAGGCTCAGTCACCAGGGAGACCTAGACAAAAAACAACTGCCTGTAGCACCTTTCTATTTTTAAATATGCCTCACAGTGCTTAGCAATCTGAGACAATGATAATGAACAGAGGCAGTAAACGAGCACGTCCTTGCCCTACTCTGCACACCAGGTAAGTGCACTTCAGCCTACTACAAACACAAGCTGTCCACACTGTCAGTTTTACTGAGTATAGAAAATAGGCACCGAGACACAAAATCCAGCACAAAAATGGGTTTGATTAGTTACTGTCTGAAAGAAAAAAAAATCTGGACCTAAAAGGCATAGACTGTAGAAGCTTAAAAATTATAATTAAACACCTGCTGTATAGCAAAGGTTATTCTGAATTCTGATGTCACACTTCTCAAACCTTAAGCCCACAGATGTCAGCAGCTGTTGTTCATCACCTACTTATCTACAGATACAAAGATTCAGTGGAATACTATGACAATGTGGAAGAGTATAAAATTCAGCTATGTGCCAGCTGTAAAGCCTGCCATCAATTCCCCTCCCCTTTTTCAAAATAATCATCTGTTTTTAGAAAAACACAGCCCATCCCATTGCCTGTAGTGCAAGGTTTAATACTAATGAAGTGTTTGTGGGCTAGTGATAGCATCTGCATCTCTTCCTGCAGGGAGCAACTCTCCCACAAGCCTGAGATTTGGATTTGATAACCACCTAGAGTGAATCCAGACTCACTTCTGATAGTCTAGTATTGGCTAATGGGCTATTTGGTACAGTACTACAGTGAGCAGTGCAAAAGTCAGTCAGCTAATCAGAAATAGTTTTAACATTTCTGTGAGCAATTAACTGCATATCAGATTACTGCAATAGTAATAAACAGTAAGAAAGGACTCCCTGCTGTGTTATTCTTGTTCTTATTTAAGTGAGCCAGCTGAGTACCTGCCATTCAGACAGTACATTTCCTCTAACAAGGCCAAATGCGCTGCTGTTAGGCTGGCTGAGCTGTTTCTTGGGAATAAGGCTCCTTCTTTGAAATAGTAGCTATGGCCTTCAGGAGAACCCAGAATCCGATGACACAATGATGCTCAAAACATTTTGTTTTGCTCCAGAGCCATTTCTTGTTAAAGCTTCCATTTCTGGACCAAAGTTGCCCCAAAGTCTCTGCTCAAAGAAACTGCTGTCCTAAAAGCCATTCCTTCTTAAGTTGCTCCAAACATGCATTTATCCCACACTGAAACCAGAAGTAGCTGACCTAGACCCTGGTTTTTCATTAGCCAGTTACAGTCTAAGAAGAGTCTAGATAAGAGGTTCAGAACCATGGAGATGCCACTGAAAATAAACATAACTTACCCTCTGCCCCCCACAACTGAAGTGCTTTGGAAAGCGCTTCTGGTATGGAAAAACACTAGTAAGGTCACCACCCTCTCATGCAGCTCCAGCCTAACTAACTCCCACTACAACTGAATCTGACTTCTGATTTTTAAACTACAAACGATAATGTCCTGAAATCCGAGCCACTATATGCAGCCTTTGGACATCTTTCTTACACAACCAAACCAGACAAGACTTACATTAAGCAGAAGAGTCAGGCATTACTCAGATTATGAATGAAAAAAAAAAAATGAATAGAAATCACACTTTCATACAAAAAAAAGGAAGTTAAACCATCTTTTAGTGAAAAATAAAATCTGTGAAGTCTAGCATGACAGTTAGATCTAAATCCATAAGGGGCACTATTCATCACCACTGAGTCAGCTAGAATTGCTTGGGGGCAGGGATTGATCTGTTCAAGACAGTCAATCAAATGTACATTCTGTTTTACAGCAGGTACAATATATAATGTACATTAAATGAAGATACATTTTTGTCTTAAAGAGGAATGGAAAGATCCTTCTGGATACTGTGGGAAGACACAAGGAATAAATCCATATTGATTTCAGGGTAGCTTATTTCAAAACACTGAGAAATGATGCCACTTGTTTTACTTGCTGTAATAGCACTTTAAGGAACATAACTCACACTAAAACCTAAAGCTTAGAATTAGTTTTCTTTCATGGAAGAAATATCCCGTGCAGTGCCAGACAGCCCTGATGGTGCTATGCCAATGCTGCTAGAAGAATTAGCCCCATTACAATTGTCAGTTGTCTTCTGGAGAGCAGTATTTATAAACAGATCTGTGCTGAGTGACAGCTCTTTCCCCTTGCTAGATGTAGTCCAAACGTCAGTCTTCAAAATGCCTTCCTGATTGGATTTTAAGATGTTAAGGATGCTCATGCTCTCCCTGTGTTTAGTAACTGAATGTCTGCAGTTTTGAGGATAGGACGAATGATAAATGAGATTTAAGTGATGAGTTTCCATTTTCTTAAATGAAAGATAATCCCCCTTTGCAGCACTGGTTCAAACCACTGCAGATGATCAGTGCAGAGAGAGTGCAGTACAGAGAAAAGGTGAACAGAAACTTTAGAAGACAAAACTACACTCAACCGCCCAGCTACTGAGTCAAAGATACCAACATGACAAACTTAACTATATGGAAAGACCGACTCACGACTGTTTCAACAGGACAAAAGAGGTGCAAGGAGGGAAACCGACTGCTTCACCTTGCCTGTGCTGCCTGTCCCAGCAGCTGCAAGGAGCCAGGCATCCCACTTGCAAAGCCTTCTGCCCCCAGGGCTGAGCAAGGGGCTCTGGCTGTGTGCGCAGCCCAGCTGTCTGCCCCTCGCAGCAGCTGCAGCCTGCTTTGGGCGCAGTGAGGACCAGGCCCTGGAGGCAGGTGACAAGAGAGCCCACAGCTCTGAAATTCCTCCCAGTCCATGACTTGCCCCCCACTGGTATCCACGCCACATCCAACACAAACCCAACTTCTGCCTGTCCTGATGATACTGGCTTCCTGGTAAATACCCCGTCCTTCCTTCTTAACACGATCCACCTACTGTTGCTTCACTCCTAGTTGTCCGTCACACAAGAGTACGTGGATGTGTCCCACCCCAGGGTTTTCAATAAGTGATAGATGTCAGCGTCCTCCTCTGCAGAGGGGAAACGCCTAGCCCAGCCAACATTCTTCTCGCTAGGTCTGTATGGCATCCCTCGCTCAGGGCGATTTCATGAGCTTGGGTTGCAGCTCTGCTCCAGCTGAGCCTAAGTAGTCCCACTCACTTTTGGACCATGGCCATTGCTGCCTTGTAGGATCTCATCTCTGCTCAGAGTGCACCTACCAACCTTTCAGCTTCCTCAAATGAAGGAAAGTCTAAGAGGAGCTTTATTTTCCAGCAGTTCTTAAGCTCTTTTGCAACCAAGTCTGTACTATTGGAGTGGTTTTGTATGTAAATACATTTGTATATCTTGAGTTCTAGGAATTCTTGTACAGCCTTAAGGGAACTAAGGTCCACCCTTGCATTTTTGTCTCAATGCAATTTTTTTGCATCACCTCAAGTCCTTGCGGCTGATAAAACTTTTTGCAGTGATCAGAAGGCATTCTTAATACTTCAGAGAAACCGGAGACAAAGAGGGATTAAGTAATATCTCACAAAACTGAACAGAACACACTGCAGAACACAGATATTATAATTCTCCCAACTTCACCACTGCATCTTTTCCCTTTTGGAGCTAAATAACAGAAATAATTGCTTAAATGATTCCTCTTAAAGGTGCACAACTGATTTATTTCTCAATTTTTGCCCTTTTCTTCCCAGCAGATTCTGATTTCTGGTCTCAGAAGGGAATAAGTTCTCCCTATTTTAGGAACAATTTTGAAGTTACAAATGTCAAATATAAAAGAATAAGAAAACCCTACTCCATTCTCTAAAGCTAGAACCCTGTCATAAAAAAAATTCAATGCCTGCAATCAAATTATAGTACTTAGCAATTGTTTAAATCACTTCATTTTCCATTTTCCTCTGTGGAGGTAGCGGCTGGTTTTATTTCTCTATGTCTATAGATGGAGGGGGGAAAAAAGTACTGATAATTTGCCTTAGGAAAAAAAAAATTTAGAATTCAAAATAAGTTTTGAGATGGAACATCTTCACTTGAAAGAAGCAGCTTGGTGCTTAACATTTCAGAAGAGCAGGCTGTAATAAAGCTAATTGATCTGAAAATCTAAGTGTAAAACACCACTAAATGCATGAAAGATTTTCACACGGAAGGCAAGCTGTGTACAAAAATACATCTATCTTACATTCCCTCTGCTCTCAGTTTTCCTCCTGTACTGCAAATTTTTTTTTTTAATAAACATCTGAGAAGCACAACAGATAGATACCTTTCAAAAAACAGTCACTAGCTTCCATGAAAAACTTTCACCCTTTTGCACCACTACATAAAAATTGGGAGGTTCAGAACCCCGTGGCAGTAATGATCTGAGACAGCAACAAATTCTGGCTCCTGTTTTATTTAGGAGTCCCTTATGACATACCATACATTGGATTTCTAGAACTCTATTTTAAACATCACTTTTGAGAAGAGTGTCTTCATTAACTATTAACCAGCACTTAATTAACCACTGAGTCTAGAAACAGATATGAAAATTTCCCTCTCTTCTTGCCTATTTACAGTCCGTCCCATTCCCACCTGAATATTATGCACAGATCTAGTACAGAGCATCCAAGGAGATCAGATCTCACAACCACTGTCCTGTAACTTCTCAGAAAAAGATATTTTACTTCAAGATCTAAACATAATCATCAGTTTACAGTCAGGAAGGTAGAAGTGTTTTAAGGCCCTAAAATTACACTGTCATATCTGTGTTATATCGTATGTATCACATACCTATCACATCTTCAGGAATTGATAAGATGGGATGAAGCTCTGGACTGCTGAAGACAACAAACTTCCTATCAGTAGACATTTCCAAACCAGAACTTTAGGGGAAAGCAAACTCCATCCAGAATTGAAGCTGGAAATATATTTAGCTGGTTAAGTTAGTGAAATTATTACTTAACACACAGAATATTATTTTCCACTAGCCATAAAAGTTGGGCTTGAGGTGGAACTTTCAATCCATTCAAAAGTGATATGATCAGATACGTGTTACACTGGAACTCACCTAGGAAGGCAGGAAATAACCTGCTACAGAAGGGAACAAATCCTCCTCCAGGAAAGGAACAAGGTTTGCTTTCAACCAGGAGTCCAGAGTCGCCCTGTAATGGCTGCAGGCTCCTGGTTGGAAGAGATCAGTAACGGAGGCACATTGAGTAGGGAGAAGCAGCTTTGTGTACTACACCAGTTAATTCATGGAGCCACATTCATTCTTTCATCAAAAGAATTAAAAGCTAATTATAGTACACGCAACAGAAAGACAGCTGATCTTGATACACATTCTCTCCAAGCAACAAATGCTTACAGACTCTGCTAACAAAGAACAAGTGAAGATAACCCAGGAGCTCTGTATTTGAGCACAAAAAAAATTGGGAAGTTGCACTTGCTACAGCTGAGATTCTACAGCCTAACCAACAGAATGTCAGATACAAAGCAAGAGTCAGGAGTTAACCCAAGAACCAAAAAATTAGAGGCAAGAATGTTCCACTATAATGACCCAATCTTCAGTGTCTCTGCTTTTGGTAATTTCCTTTCTGTTTTGATCTGTCAGACAGCTGTCCTCAGAAAGAAAGAACAACTACTGTACCTCTGAAATATCTGAAACAGGCACTTGCAGCTGTTACAGACAGGTGACAAGCAGAATCATTCAAGAAGTCTTGCCTAGATTGGACAGAGAAGGAATTTGCAAGACCACTTTAAGAAGACAAGACACATGGCCTCTTTGAAAGTTATGACCCTGGCCATCATTTGGAATTAGAAGCGTGTATTTCCTTGTATCGTTGCAGTTTAGAGACAATAAAGCGTGTCTTTTCTTTGTATTCAATGGACATGGGTTTGTGTTAGTGACAGAAAAAGACCCCTCCTCCCCAAATCTTCCTGTGCCTCTCACCTCACTTTTGCCAAGACCCAGGAAAACAATTCTGTGGCCTGCTGCTTGTAGGGCAAGCCCACCTTCTTGAAAAGCATCAAAGTAAAAGGCTTCCAAATACTAATAAATGAACTAGCTGTAGATCCTACATGAGAAAGCTTTCAGTTGTGCTACTAGCATCTGTGGGTAAGCAGAGCTGGGAATTCGATTTCTGTAGAGAGACAGAAAGAACATGGTTTAGTGCTACACTGAAGCATTAAAAGCTTAGCCAGCACAGAAATCTGCTTTTGGCTCAAGACATGGGAAAGCCCCAAGAAAAACAAGACGTGAATGTGTGCACCTAATGCAAGTGAGAAATTGTAATCATTTGGGTGTTGGGGATGTGTTTCAGCAGGGCTGGAGGTGAACCAGGTTGGGCATACATCTAGAATAAGCTCTAACTGGCACAGAGATAGGTATATCTAAACAAGCCAAGGTTTTTTTGGAGTCTCAGCATACCATATAGCATTTTCTTCACTATAGAAGAAAATAGTCTATAGCGAAGTGTTTGCAGAAGGGTACTGAATTGTACAGTATCGAATGAGCTCCATTCTTCAACTTTTCAAAGGCTGTCCCCTCAGCTGTGTCACAGAGAATCCCATCACAGACCACACTGTAGGGCTTATTCATTCTCAAATGTCAGACTTGTCCAGGATTCATGTTCCACAGAAGAACTGCTGGTGGCGGCTGCTAGAACGCAAGTAAGGACTTAGCAAGGACCAAGGAAGGGGGGGGAGGAGTTGTTCCAACTGAGCAATGCAAGGCAAGCAGCAGGCGCTGGATCTCAACAAATATGGCTTCTGGGAGCTACAATCAGTAACTCCAGCTGGGCCATTTGCTTAGGCTTCCTGCCAAAAGATTTATAAAAAGAACAGTAAAGAATGTGCAATGGCTTTAAATATGAATTTCAGATACAGTGCAGCCAATATCCACATTTGTGGAGGCTTCCATCCCTCAGCTTTTCTCTAAGGCTCAGCAAGGAATGCAAGGAGTTTCTCCTGCTGATCTAATTTTATCCTCTCAGAGATATCCACCAGCATGAAGGAACAAATTACAGCCAGTGCAGTTTCCTAATTACTTCCAGCTCTCAGAGAGGGAACCAAAAGATACTAGGGAAGCAAGCACAACACAGCAAAGCTGATAAACCAGCCTTTAATTTGTGTGTTGCTGTACATGGAGGCCTTGTGATAATTTACTACAAGGTGATCCTGGCCTTTACTCAAACTAGTGCATGTCTTAATATCATAGACATTTCTATGAGTTTAACTGCAACAGTGTACAGTGGCGAACAAGAATGGCTACTACATGATAAGTGAAATATGCAGGTGGTTTCCCCATCAGACACGCAAACTGGTTCCTCGAATACCAGCAATGACTATTTAGCAACATGCAACTTTCCATTACGTAGTAGGTTTTCCATATTCTGTATCTGAAGCACGTTAGCATGACTGGAGGTGGGTTTATTCAAGTTCGCAGCAGAGCTGGCTCGCTCTGTACTGAACCTGTGCCAGCCACAAGGAGCTTCATTACCAAGGTTCAGCAGCCTTCCAAGCACAAAAAGGAAATCCAATCACCAAAAGAGTTTTTGTCCTTGATATGGCATATAGAACCTCACAGTGAATAGCAAAAGTCACTTGTTCAAAAAAGTAAGTTATACCACAGAGCACAAAAATCCTGCAGCGCCAGCACTGTAAATAGGTCAAGTGTGGCAGCTGAATCATTTATTTGATTCCTCAATTAGTATACACTTAAGTGTCCACTGCTTCTGCAGACACTGGTATAAGATGGGGTTCTGCAGCTAGAAATGACTTAGAACAATCATACACGTCTGATCTAATTAATACAACAGGTTCTATCTCCTCCTTCTGTCCTCACATCTGTATGAGATACTCGGAAACCAGTAAAAATTGTGGAATCTGTTGGTTTTCTTTTTTCTTGGTTTGAATACCAATCTTAAATGGCAGTTTGTCTCCAGGGTACATACTACCTCCAGTAATACCATGATCACTAAAAAACCCCACAATATTCAGTGGACGTACCACCTCTAGTAATACCACGATAGCTAAAATCAACACACACACACACACACAGACACATCCTCCCTGACTAAACTGCAACACTTGAAGTGACAGTATGAAGTGTGACACAAATCCATGCCCCCCACTAGACAAGGCTCCTCCCTTGCCTTGTAAGAACCAGGAGTTATGTGTACCTTCAACTAACAGACACGGCTTGTCATCAGGGTTATCAAAGCTCTGCAGTGTCCTTCTTGCAGCAGGGCAGGTCTCCTACTCAGCATTTGTCCAGAGTGCTGGTCTCGGGAAGCAGTCCTGCAAGACACTGAACATCTGCATACACTTATTTATGACACAAATTCTACTCCAATCTCAAGATGTTGCTGCTTCACAGACATGCTAGAAAAGGTCAAGTTCAGGAACTAACAGTTTAACAATGAGCAGGCAAACAGAGGGCTTGGGAGGGTCAAAACCTTCTCCTACCCAAAGGTCACCAAGATTCATCCCCTAGAGAAATTTAAAAGTATTCAAATCTCTCATGGGACATACTGTCATTCTAAGCCTTATGACAGTGCTCTTATGAACAGTTCATGACATTGATCATGCTGTGAGGCCGCTAGCAAAAGAACTGTTTCAATACACAAAGAAAAAAAAAAATCAAGACAGCCTGAAATTTCTCTGAACTCAGTGTTTTATTGCTTTGTGATTATTAGTTACACTTTGACACAATGTACTTTGGAATAAATTGGCACCTATTACATAATTTAAAAACTTCCTATCTTACAGTTCATATAATTGGCACTATAGAGAAAACCCAGAGATCTGTCATTTTGACCCCAAGATTAAAAGAAAGATAAAATGTTTACATCCTTTATTGTTGGCAGGTGAACTTTTAATTGTGGAAGGCCCTTAAAAATAGTGAACAGAAACTAACAATCTAAATGCCCTCCAAAAAAATATATAAAACCACAATCAGATAAATCACTCCCTTCTTTACACTAGTCATTTTGCTTTGGTACTTGTAGTACCCAAGTGCACAGTAACTCCCTCATCTCTTTTAAGGAAAAAAAGTAACATGATCAAGTCTGTACCAACTACTTTGGGTGACAAGAGGAGAGACTCCCACACACCATCCTCAGCACCCACGCAAACAGCATTTTCACCAAAAGTGACATTGCATCAGGATTTAATGCATCCCAAGAGGTTTATAAATACTAAAGTGTTGTGTTGATTTGGGTTGTTTTGGTTTTGTTTTTTTTTTTAAAAAGGAAGAATTACTTTTAATAAATAAATGGCAGCTGTCATAGCTGCATTTGCTTTGGTGACCAGTTATCGATATGCAGCATAAGTTATCTTCATAAGGCAAGTGGTGAGATAGCATAAGTGAAGTCCCTGAGGATCAGCATCAATGTGTTCAACACGTTTGTTTCACAATGTGTGTAGACAGCCTGGAAAACAATCAGTCCCAAGGCATCTGCTTTTTAATCTCTGAGCACAGCTGCAGACCACACAATGAATTATTTCTGTACCTCTTCTGTAGGCAGGAATATGTAAATAAAACAGAATACTTAGAAGGTGAGGTGGGGGGGGTGGGGGTGGAATTAGTTCTCCTAAACCTGGACCAAGTGCTCCACCTTGTGTTAGTCCTTGGCATTCAAAGCGAACCTCTCGGTGCCTGCTCAGTAATTGCAGGTCCAGCAGAATAGTTTATGATTCCTTCTGCCTGTGAACAAGTGTTGTCCATGGTGCCATACGATTGTTGCTCCTTATGGGCAAGTATCGTCCTTTCTGTACAATGAGGATGCAAAACTCGGGGGACGTACATCTGAAATCACAAGCATTAAGGATTTTACTAGTCTCTCAAAGTACGTTAGGATAATTCACCCAGGATAACGCCCTCGCCACTCTTCTTTTCATCCATTTCCCATTCTTCACCTTAACACCTAAGGCCTTTGGCACCCTAACGGAGGCTTCCTGGTGCAACACTCACCTGTACTTGTAGACTGTGGTACAAAGGCCCTTATTTCTACCTCCATCCTACATCCTTTTTAGTGACGTGGCAGGTAAGATCTGCTACACGTCACAACTTTGAAAGTCACAAAGCAGTGGCAACTGACTGCATTTGGCAGCAGTCCAGATGTGAGGATCTGTCTGGTGTAAGGCCCAGAACACAGTGTACATTGCTGCTGGAAGTAGCATGTCTCAACTACTCCTAAAACGTCAGCCGAAGGTACTTCTGGAACACCACCTGGGAACAGTCAAGGAGCCCAGCAGCAGAACTCTGTGGTCCCACATGCATATGCGAAGTCCCACAGTCCATTCAGACTAATACGTCCTACACAAGCTCTTTGGTTAGTGGGGTGAGAAATTAAGTTTTTCTAGGAAACGTAAGAGAAGATTAGTAACTCTTAACTTCTTACAGAAGATGTTGGGATGGCTGGTACATCTGTGTCGTTTCCTCTTTCACCTTGCGCGTCTTCTATCTGTAACCAGTAACACGTGGGGAAAGGAAGAGAGACAACATCAAATTGATAAGTCAAAACAATATAGAGAGATCATAAGTGCCCAAAAACCTGCACAGACAGATCTCTCTGCAGTGCTGGTACTCTCTCCTCCAATCCTCTTGCATACTTCTTCCATACTGCTCTTTCCTCTCAAATTCAGTTCCTAACACTGCAGACTTTCCACTGTGCCAAGCAGCCTACGTCTACTATCAGCCCTCCTTAGCCATCTTACCGCTATGTACCTTTATGGACAGACATTGCTAGTGACGAGGCACAAACAACCCACTAGGAATAGCTGGTGCTATGTCAAGCACACAGGTAGGTGCTGAAAGGTGTTAGGTATCCATCACTTACCTTATAATTCAGTGGGCTCAGGTACTTGAAACAGCCAAAACAAGTATAAGCCAAGCAAATGATAATTGTGATGTTGACAACGAGGAAAGTAAACATGGTTGTAGGTGCTTTAAAGCCTAGAAAAATATCCAGAGAATACAATATAAAAATACATAGCAGGAAAAAACACTAAACCAAACCAACCTTTACTTTATCTTCCCCATTTTCAGAAGTCTCGGGGTTTTTTTTCCCCTTAGAGGACTGGGCACGCCACTTCCAGACACAAACAGGAGAACCTCATTATGCACAAAGCTCCTTGACTGGTAAAACCGCTGAACAAGCTGTTTCCCAGCTTCCTTAAAGGCCAAGAAAGGCAGCTGCAATACTTGAATGATAAACAAGACTCAGAGCGATTCTTCTCCTCCCTCAGTCATCTATTCTGGACCCACTTCTAAAATACTTTCATAAATAATCTGTGAAATGTAATAGAGTCCATTTATTAAATATGATGATGGCACCAAATTGGATGGCTTGCAAACAACCCAAATGAAAAAAATAATAAAAAACCAACCCCACCCTCTTTCAAGGAAAAAAAAGAACAAACCAAAAATAAACAGTAAGATGAAATTGTACCTAGAAAACTGTAAATAACTTCCTTTTGGAAGGAAAAATGAAATGTAGAGGGATAACAAACCTGTAGCACTGCAGAATACAACTGATGATTACAAGCTGGAAACAGTCAATAGTGTGATTCTATCACAAAACATGGGAAAAAGGGAAGAAAAAAAAAAAGCAGCAAGTCTCTGGTACCTACACAAAATAATTTGGTGCTACTGAGCGCCTTCAACTTGAGCAGCCTTGTCTGTGCAGGACACCATGATAAAATATGGACAGAACTGGGAGGAATCCAAGGAGAAGGAACAACAGAAGAAACCGAGTAAACGAACTAAACTGAAAGGTAAGTTTTTCTTCAGAGAGAGAGAGAGAGAACACTATAGGAAAGGACATAGTAGCAGCCTCTAGTATGGAAAAAGTTGTAGTGATTACAGTGACTTATTATTCTCCAGGTCCACTAGGGAAATATTCTGAAGAAATTAATCTCATTTTGCAGCAAAAATGACTTGAGTAAGATATTAGGGGAAAAAAACCCAAACCACAAAACCTAGCTGTTTCCAAGCTTCTTTAGTCAAAAGAGGCAACACCAACCCGCAAATATTTTGTGGTAATCCCAGCATATGCAGTGGCACAGAATAGACAAGTTTTACTTTTTAGCAGGTTATATAAGCCCTGCACAAATCTATTCATGAGGGGAAAAACACATACACACACGCATGCACATGCAAAAAAACAAAACAAAAAAAACCCCACAATCATGTCACTATTCAAACAAAAAAGGGAAGTGAAAAAACCTCCCTATGGGTATTCTGGAATGTCCTTCAGAAGAGGTTGTTTTATAAGCATAGGCTGCATCAGTATTTACCAGCTGGTGAGGTATGTCTACACCAAAGCCAATGTATGGTGTGAGCCACAAAGTAAACAGCAGAGATCAAGGAAGAAGAAATCTCCAAAGATCAGTTTTCCCTGCCCTATGTCGTCAGCACTCCTCGCTGCCAACAGTTCTAGAGAACATGGGACTTAAGTGACTATCCCAGGAGACAGAGGCTGAACTGCAGATAGTACTGTCACCTCCTCTGTTGTGAGAGGCCCAGTGGTGCTTTAGGTGTATGACGGACGGATGGCATGAGAGCTGAGGAAGAAAACAGCAACTGAGGAGGAAATGGATGACACCAGTACAGCCTATCACCTTCTGTATGCAGTCAAGTGATATTTGATCCTGACTGAGAACTGGGATAAAGGTCCTTCCAGCCTTACATTAATATAATAAGTGAGAAAACAGAGTATTATCACTGTACTCTGCAACCAGACTGAAATATCCATACCAGACACAAATCAATGACTAAGCAATCAAGCTTTACATACCATAAACCAATTTATTTTGCAGATAAGGAAGCAGGGCACTCTTCCCCCTCCTTCCTTCTCTTTGGTACAAGAAGCAGCAATGAAATCAATGGCAACAAAATCAAAATCTCAAGTTCCTACCTCTCAGACTCACACTGCTTGGCTAGACTGCCCTGTGCACTGACAAATCACTGAACAACATCCTGTAAACAGGATCCTCTACACTGACCAAACTAAACATGGTAATCCAGCCTGTATTTTCCATTACTAAGGTCCATGACAAATGATGGTTTTACCATAGATGCAGAACCAGAAAACATTATTATAAAGATTTCGTTTTTACTACACCAGGATTTCCTTCATAACAATTAAAGAGGCGCATCAATTGCTGCGTGTTTGGAGTTGATTTTTCTAAAGCATACTCTAGAAATGCTGCTGTTATTTTAGAGGACATAGATTTATTGGTCTTCCTGGTTGCAAAGACAACTCTCAAAACAAGGGAAAAAACAAGCTCCAAAACATACAAGTAATGCAGGGACATCTGCTCAAATCCAAGGACAGCCTGAAGCAATAGTTCTGAGTGCCTCTTACTTCCACGGGGAGCTATCTCTGAAGTTAGATGACAGTCTGCCAACAATATCTTTTTTACTACTGGTATGCTAGAAAAAAACAATGCAAGCACGGTCATTTGCCATCAGTGCTGTGAAAGCAGAGAAGAGGGCAAAATACAGTTAGATACCAAGGGCCTCCTTCCCAGGAAGGGAAGCCCAACTCCTTCCAGCATCACCGCCATTCCTGTTCCATGCCAAATGCTTCCTCCTATATCACAGATAAAAAGCCATGAGCTATTGCCTACCTTTTCTGACATCAAAGCTGTTAGTACACCACAGCCAATATTATCAATGCCAAGTATTTGCAAAATACAGAATGTCCCTATTTTTAAAATAAATGACACACAAAACATGAGTTTTTAAATTGGGGAGGAGGGTTACCATCTCACTGCAGTCTTCCATGTAAAGTTTGACTGATGATGTAAAACACAGGTCTTACTAGCAGTAGCCAACATTTTAACAGTTTTTTTCCAAATGACAACTGTACAATGGAGGCAGTAGCCAATTCACCCAGGCAAATTAAACTTATGCACAGACTACACAAATGCAGGTAGTGAAGCCAGGGACCATCTTTCTAGTAAGAGCTAATTCTGAATACATTTGTGGTTTTTTTAATGATTTTTACTGTCTGTCACTCCACAGCCTAACTGGCCAATTCAAACTCCACCGATTTAGGGAACACATGATCTCCTGTAAAATGAAGAAATATGAAGTTCCATGCTAACAGTTTTAAGTTAACATATCAGCTATCGCCATCAGAGTATCTTATGCAAACTTGTGTAAGCTGCAAGTGTTGTATAATTCAGCGCCACAGGTAACCACTATGACTTCCCATTTATGGAAGCAAAAAGAAAAGCCCATAAAACCAATGAAACTTCACATGTAATTCAGGTAAGTTGACAAGAGAACAAGGAGCAGCTTCTAGGTGGAAACAGGTAATACTTACCTAGCCGCAAAAATGAGAAAAAATAGAGCCAAAAAAGGCAGAGAATTGGAGCTGCAAGGGCCTGATTCACAGCCGCAAAGTGCATCTTCTTCTCTAGCTTGGCAGGGAGATATGCATAGTAAAGGTTATAACGGTCAACCATGTGCTTCAGGAGTATGTATATTAAACCTGGAAGGAAAAAAGGGACAGCCAAGGGAGGTGGTTGAAGACTTGACAAAAAGCAGCAATTCTGTGATGAGATCTACACTAACCAAGTGACTGAAAATCTAGATTCCAATGGTGGATACAGGCCAAATATGAGTGGGGTACAGCTCCATGACAGCAGCCTGCTCCTAAGGTTGTTGCATCCCCAGCCCAAGGCTCCCGGACTCTCCCCATCGCTTCCCCTTCTCCACACACTTCCCTGCAGCACCACTCGTGCTCCCAGAAAGAGCCCAGAGCTCCTTCCTAGAGCTGGCACATGAGGCCAAGCTGGTAGGGGAGACTCGGTAACTCCTCCACCACTGTCCTGGTAAGGAAGAAAGGTCAAACAGTGGCTTAATGTCTCTTTCTCAGCCTTCAACACATTCATGACTGGATTTCAAGTCAGCTATTTCTTATCCCCCCCAAAAAAGCCAGTTACTGCTGTGACAGCTATGAATTGCAACAGCTCTGGTATGCACTACCACATTCAGATATTTACAACTGCACACAAAATGAAATGTAAATAAAGAACATTGTTACAAAAAAATTGGCCACATTCTCCCAATAATAAGGTTGTTGATTAAAATCAGTTCTGAACAATATCTAATAGCTAATTATGTTGTATCTAGCTCTCTAAAATTTTGGATTAGAAAAGAAAAATACCAACTATATAAAATGATTTAGTACTACTTATGCCTGTTAAACAGGTTTCCAGAGTGGAAATATCTGTAGCTGCTGAAATGATTCTTTATACATAGTTCTTATGACAGTCCAGAATCTCTGTGAATGAAAGATGCAATAACATAACATGTAGCTCATTTCACAGTCACTAAAGATGGACAACTGTCTATGAGTTCTAAACAGACTGCTAAGTTTCTTGCACACCCATACAGGATTTAATGGCTGCTACAGGAAGAAGAAAGTAGTCAAAGCCAGATACATAGGCAACTTAAGGCAGAAATGTTAAGTTTTGTTCATGGGACAGAGATAAACCAACTGAATAAGAGTTGAATAAGGGCTCTATCCACATGCCCTGAACTCCTAGTTGACTGGCTTTCTAAGCCAGCTAATCTACCAGAGTATACAGCATTTCCTTTTCTGGTCAAAGGGCAGCTATGGTGTTCGCCAAGACCATGTCCCAGCAAAGCAGTCAGTACATCATTAGGTCACATCCCTGCAGTCAGGACCATGAAGCATACAGCTGTCCATAGCACAGTGATAACCACAGCCCCTTTTCTCATTCTCATTCAGGATGTGGAATTTTAGAGAAATGGTTTGCAATGGAAAAGAGGGGCAGTAGTGAAAAGGACAGGCAGTTTTCCACCCTCTTGCTTCTGGGTCAACATGCTTATTTTTGTGCTTCATTTTACATACATCAGTCAAACTTTAGGACAAAAGTTATTTCAAATGAGCCTAAAGCTCAACTCAAGTTTGGCTGCTTAAGGTGGACCTCCAGGCTGGGTACCCTCTGCAGCTTACTTCTCCTAGACCTCAAGAACCCAGAGATAAAAAGTAATCCCCTCATCCTCAAACCTACCTAATCTCCTATGCTTAACTATTAAAAACCACCACCAGAGCTAGTACACTCAAACTTGAGAAACAAAATAAGCATCTAATAGACATTAAATATACTTTCTACTTCTAAAGGAAGTACAAGAGCTAAGTAATTCACCATGTTTTGCCCTGTGTTTTCCACAAGAAAGGAAGGAACTTGGATCCAAGTCCTAAGGATTATCAGCATTTGAACTGGGATAAGAATGCAGAACTGGGCCTTCCAAACCTCCCATGTGCCCCCATCCCGCTCACACAGTGCCCACAGCTCATTGGAAAACTTACCAAATGGAACAATGATGGGACACGTAATGCTATAGGCCATGATGACAGTGAACACACACAACATCCAGGCATACATTGCTCCAAATTCATATTCAAATGCTTGTTGCTAGGAACAAAAACAAAACATCCAAGCCACTCATGTCATCTATCAATATGTCAGGAGTTAAGAAGAGATTCACTAAAGCAACAATTCACCTTCTCTTATTCTCTCCCTATGAGAGATCAGTTACTTCCCTAAGAGGCATAAATGACATAATTAGAGAGATGAAGTATTATGCATTTTATGCATCTGTACTTACAGAAAATATGCTGCTTCTTTCATAGCCTTAAAGTAATTCCTCAGAGAATCTGTTTTCATCTACAAGAAGCAACTACTTAAAACCACAAGGCAGAAAATAATTGTGCCAAACTCAGAACCTTCATCTCACTGCAGATTCCATTGAATCTGTACTGTTCCTTGTGTTGGCTTTCCCAGTATGGAAAGCTCAAGATACCAAAGCTTTGGTGTGGTCAGTATTCCCACTTTTTCCTCTTGGGATGAGGAAATCAATATAAATAATTTCAACCAGAGCAAGGGGTAATACTCAACAGTTAACAGAAGTTAATGTTTAAAAGAATCTTTTAAAAATGGAACCTACCCACCCATAAAAAAGAAAAAAAAAAAAAAAAAAAAGAAGAAAAAGAACAGGGGCAGCTGTATACAGGCTTAAATTCCCATTGTAACACCTGAAATTTCAAGCTGCAAGATGACACATTATCTGGAAGTTGAAAGCCCTCCACTTAAAATGGAATATAGACAATAAGTATATATTTTGCTAGATGTATGTTCAAGTTAAAGTTGTACACACCTGCAGGCTGACAGAAGAAACTAACATAGACAGATTTGAATTTTTACAAAACTGAAGTTTAGACTGTAAGATAAAATCCATTAGAATTATCCTATAAAATCCAAATCATAAAACTCTGACTTGGAGCTATGAAGAAAGTAATACCTGAAGTTCAGAGCTTGGGTTTTGATTTTTGACCATCTCTGACTTGAATAAATACCTCCCCATTATCTGTGCTGCAAATGAAGGGAATATGAATCTGTCATGGATGAATGAAACAAAGGCCAAAAAATAGACAGGAGATAATAGTTAATGGTATGAAGGATGGGGGCTCCCACTGTTTCTGATAAGGATCAGTCATTTAATTGCCACTTGCTAAGGAGGGGCTCTAATACCTGTTTAATATTTTTCCTTTCTGCTGTGGACTTGGCCATTATCATGCGTATGGTGTAAAGGATGAGCCCAGGCAGGCGCAGCAACTCCATCCCATTGCCAACAAAAGCAGAGGCAATCACGTAGTTCACAAAGAAGGCTCCCTGGTCAGGCAAAAAGACACATCTGCAAGGAAAGACATCAGACAGTGACTGGAAAGCAGACAAGGAAATATAGCTTATATACAGTGGATTCCCATCACCTTTGGAAATCTCTTACCATAAGGATAAGCACTGGCCACCATAAGAAGTGGCTAGAAGACTTCTGATAATCTTGTTGAAAAAGAGTACTACACAGCTATAAATACAGTAAGTGTAGTACGCTGTAAGAGCCTAGCTAAGCTGCAGTTCGGATGAGGAATAAACTCTTCAAAAAAATATACAGCAGTCTGATGGGTGGCTGATAGCAGACAAGAGCATCATTTGATGTCTGCAACAGCAACCCAAGACAAGATGAGATAAGACTGCAAGAGAATAATTATCTTTCCTAGCTTAGTAACTCCTAATTGTCTTCTTGTTACTGATTTTGAAATAGCATTTGGAAACCTAACTATGTCCTAATAACTGCATTCTATTCTTTCCCTCCAGCCACAGTCACAAGAGCTTATAATAACCAATATGTGCAAATTTGCAATGCTGGTGTGAAAACGTTCATGTTTCTTAAAATCAAGAGTCAATAGATTTCAGAAAGAGAACTGCTGCAGCTATTTGGTCTCACTGTAATCCTTGGGAAGATCATCTGTCCATGATGTACAATCCTCAGTACATTTTCTGGTCCCCTCTCGCCTGCATCATATCATCCCATCCTTTCTTGTCTTCTACAAAATTTGTAAGGTTTTGGAAAAATAACTGTCTCTTTATTGAATGTTTGCATACATCAGCTAGCAGGAAACAAGTATGGATTTCTTCATAGCAAAATCACTTACATTCTCCTGCCCTTATTCAGAAGATCAACATCATCCCAGAGGGTACCATCCCCAAGCAAATTAATAAACCCCAACCAATGTTAAGCAACAGCAAAAAAAAAAAAAAAAAAGTCTTAAGTATTCCTTTAGCAAAGAGTTGTTAATACTTACTCCAGCCTAACTGCAGAATCAGATGATTCTCTGTCAAACAGCCAACGGAAAAAAAAATCAAGGCTGAAAGAAAGACGGTTAATGTAATTTAGTCTCCAACAGCTTAGTACTGTGTAAAATTGCTTCTCTTTTTAAGTAGTTCAGATCAGGATAGTGGATAGAGAGAATTTAATCAAATAATCTGAATACTACTTTAGCTTTATCACAGTTACTAATAGTCAGAAATAGGAAAAGAGATACAGAATCAAACAAAACAAAAACATCTACTTCATATTGAAGTTTTAATGATTCATTTTTAGCAGTTATATAGATAGGACAAATACATGTTACCAGGTTAGTCAGGGAAACAGTCAAATACTGTAAAGGTGGAAAGAAAAGGACAACTATAACTGAAGTATAAGACATAGTCAGGAAACTGGGTTCTCAGCTACGATGGTGAGTATGGACAACTTTCAATTAGTCATTGATCTTACAAGGTCTTAAATTTCTTTACTAAAAGAAAAGTCAGCCTTTAGAAACTTTAAGGGCTACGAGGTCCTCACATGAAAGATAAACATTGAAATCTAATGCATAATGACAGTACAACCATACACACTGGAGGGAGTGGGGGTACATCAACTATACCTCAACTAGCAGCTAAAGAACAGAAGTTGTCTCATACGATTAAAATCCTCAAACATTACTCCATTAAACTATAATTCTTTACCTGGTCAGACCAAGGGAGGGCAGAATCAATACCATGAAGATCAAAAATATGTAGACTTTATGCATCATTATTCTGTTCTCTGCAGATCTACCAACATAAAAAGTTACTCAGTAAGAAACTCATACAAAAGACTTCCACCCATGAAGGATCTTGCCCCGAGAAAGTCCACACCTGTCAGACTTGCAGCTTTCCCTACCATATCACATTGCTACAAGATACTCACAAAACGAACATCTTTGAGATATTCACTAATTTGGACCAAGCAGGCTCTCAGTATCTTCTTGGGCAAAGAAAACATTTCTGAACATTAATCCAAACTCTGGATTACCATCACTACAGGTCTGCACCACAAGCAAGGGGATATGCAACAATCACAGCTGGTCTCTCATCCAATGATACTCACATCTCACAACAGCTTGTAAACAAACAGCTCTTCAAGTGTTATGCCAAGAGGGATTAGCCAGTTCATAAAAGGGCACCACTGCCAAGAAACCAGACACTTGGACAAGCTACCTGACTGTCTTTGCCAAGTGTCAACTCTTTGGTAACAACATGACGCTACTAATGCTATACCCCTACTACAGTAGCGGGAACATCTATCTAGTGACACACTGTTGCCAGAAAAGTGCAGCAACTGCTATAAACTATTCAGACTGTTAAAGGTGGTATCTGATAGGGCATTAAAACCACAGAGGTTTTATTATAGGATCATGTAGCCCTTGGACACTGTGGGACATATCAGGATAACTATACAGAGGCTTGAAATCAGATCTGTGATCACTAGTGACTTTAAAAAACTATTTCAACTGATTGAGAAGGGCCCAAAGTTCATGTGCCTAGTACAACTACCAAAAAAAAAAAAAGTTGATGAAAAGAATACAACTGTGATGAACAAACAGTAGCTTCTGGACACGGTGTCTTACAAGGGAATGGTACAAAAGATTAAAAAGTAAAAAAAAAAAATTGACCTTAGAACATAAAAACAAACAAAAAATAGCTGCAGGCATTATGGAAAAAGATTGAGTGAAGTTAAATGAAGCTGGGATTCAGTGTGCAGTATCATGCTTTTATCTAACTGTAGGGAAACTGGGGATGAAATCTGGTATGCCAAACCAAGCTGTGCCAAGTTCTCCAAGTCAGCAGCACATCACTGTGCTTCACATCTCTGGAGCGCACCAGTCATATCTGAAAATCTTGCATCAACACACCTGCTGGGCCTTGGTGCCACAGGTCTTCTCAGATCACCACTAACAATATCCAAAAGCAACTGAGTTGGACACCAAGAGTTACATCCAGACCATTTTTTCCATGTAAAACAACAAAAAGATGGATGTCCTTTTTGTAAGTAGCATGCCAGCAGTTGGAGCACTGTCTGTTGAAGTAGGATTCTGGGGTTCTGTGATGTTCTCAGCCTGGAGGTCATCCAAACCCACACCTCCTATCTTCCCAGAGAGCGAGCTGGTTATGGGATCAGAGGCACCTCCCATGCTCCTGCTGAAGCTACACCCCCTGAGCCTGCTTATACATTTTTTTTCTGATTAAAAACAAAGGGGGGGGGGGGGGAAGGAGCATAAGCAAATCATGTGGTCAGATTACACTTGCTGTGTTGATTACAAATTACTTAAACTCCAGAGTGGTGGTTCTAACATTAATAAGAGATGAGAACATGACATTCCCCGCTATGAGAGGTCTGTGGATTTAAGAGCTCCATGGAAGATAAGCACTTTCTCCATTTATTTTAGCATATTCAGCTAATAAGGCCAAAACAGAGTAAAACCTTGCTTACTTTGTCCAGTGGGACTCCAGCAAAGTTGAGTAATATACAATTGTTGGTAGCAAAGCTGAGAAGGACCAGAGTAAGAGCGTTGGGAAAAACTGACTGATGATGGGATTCTAGTGGGGGGAAAAAAAGGAAGAATAAAGTATTAAAAACATTTTAATGCAGCTGCGGTACAACTGAGGCTGCAATATTTTGCTATTTGTAAATTATAGCAGGTTGAACTGCAGAAATTATATTCAGATACAGTCTTAAAATGAGTGAGTGCTCAGCACTAGTGTACAAGACAAAAAAACAAGAGTGGGACTGGGAATTAAATTCCATGAGAGTGAAGTCTCGCAAGCAGTATTTATGTAGTTTACATCAGCTTGGGAAGTATTTAAAATGAACAGTTTGTAAGAGACCTTAGCTGCAGTCAAATTAGGACCAGATATACACACCATCCTGTTTTGAATCCAATAAGCCAAATAAAACCATGGCATTTTACTTCAGATTTTAAAATCTGAATTCCCCCCTTCTCGCCATAAAAATCAAAATACAAGTTGGACTTGAAATTCCATTTTTGGCAAAAGTTTTTGATTACAAAATTTAGAATTATCTACATTTGAAATACAAATTTTTACTACAAACAAGACATTTATAGTAATATAAAGCTTCAGGTGAAATTGCTTCAGCCTACTGTCATGGAACAAAAGAAGACTAAAGACCTGATTCTGGACATATGCTTTTTAATCAGCAGTTACATAAAACAGACCTGAGAATTTCAACTGAATTTAGCTTATAGACATTGATTCATTGTCTTACTATACACCTATCAGTTTATCAACATTTTGGGCTGATACACAGCTATATCCAAACATATGGTGATACTCACATTAAGGTAGTGAATAGGTTTAGTGACATTGAACTTGTCCATGGTTGAGATGATTATGGAAGGAGTAGTAAGAAAAAACAGTACAATAAAAAGAAGCAAATTAATGCAAGCCCATCTAAACCACCATTTCAGTCCACGCACTGAAAGATTTTTCCTGCAAAAAAAGAAAAAAAAAAAAAGGACATAAAACCAAGCAGTAAGCATTTGCTGATAAAAAAAATATATATACTATCCGTCAAGTAACGAGTGACAGCTTTTTCTAAATTGAGCTTTCATAGTCTCAAAGTTGTATAACAAAGCACTACACAAGTTCCAGTTACTATTAGAAATAAAGGAAACTGTGCAACCTTTCTTGAATGATAACATAAATTGTGTTTGCAGAAGAACATATTTAGTCTTTCATAACACAAACATAATGTCTAATGTAGTCAAGGTTTGGTGAAACACCTCCGCTGTTTAATAATACAGAAGTACTAAAAGTTAGAACAAGAAGAGACAGAGATAGAAGAAGATACAGAGAATTTCTGCAAGGAGAATAGTTATGAGAGGCAGAATCTACCAAGAAACCATGATTTTGAAAAAAAAATTAAAAATCCCTGCATCCCTTCCTGCCATATTAAAACAGCAACAATAGGTCTTAAACAGGTAAAGTTCTTAAATGTTATCTGAAATGGTTCTCAAAAGCACTGGAATGATTTGAACCCCAGCCAAAGCCAAGTATTTAGAACAGACAAAACAGGGATACAGAGGCTCACTAACATACCCAATTATGACAACTCTTTTTGTGAACCTAGGTAAGTAACTTGGCAAATCCCTGTGCCTCCTCTTCTTCGGGGTGGGGGGAGGAGGGGAAGAACAGAGAAAAAAAACCACAAAAACAAAACCCCCCAAAACCACCACCCCCACCACAAAAAACATGAACAACAAAACCCCACCATCCTCCCCTCTCAGAAATGTTTAGAAAAGCTTTGTAAGTGCTTCAACCCACTGAGTCTCAACGATCATTTCCTGTGTCCATAAGAGAGTGCTTGAACAAAGGAAGAAGAAATGAAGCACACATGCATGCAAGAACCCTTCCATGAAAAAAGGCAGATTAAACTGACCCTACGTGGAAAGCAGTCTGCAAGAGATTTTTAATTCATGTCTCAAAATAACACATCTGAGAATCATGGCTGGTTGTTTGCTTTATGGTTAAAGATTCTGTACTTTATTCCCAACTGCAGAATTGTAGTTCTAGAGAAGATTCAATTATGTCGATTATCAGAAATAGATGGCATAGTCACCTTAAAAGTAATTTTCTGTTAAAATCATTAGGGGGAAGTGTACTTTTTTAAAAAAACAGTTACATACAGGTGAAATGCAGTAACTTGTGCATGTTTGTGTCTTGCAGTTTCAGTTTGGTCAACGGAAATGTCAACAAATCAACTGTTATACGAATAAGGGATTATATTGACCCAACCCTAAGTTAGTTGCAAAGCAACTGGAAAATATTTAGTCATTTTTAGCCTATAAGCATGACAGAAGACAGCACAGGAACAGTTTAACTCAAAAAGTATTTATCTATTTTTTGACACTCTCCTGTAAGCAGTGGGTAAAGTCTGGGAAATTTACTGGGTCAATAAAAAGATGTTAGAAGACAGACCATAGTTCACAGAGTGGATCAAGTTATACTCATCATGTGGCAACTCAAAAAACATACACATAGTTGGAGAATACTCAGCACTAACACCAAATTGCTTTCCTCAGATCTCAACTGTAGATATGCATTAACCCCATAAAATGGAAACACTGAGGCACAGACATTAATTAATAAGCTGAATTTTATTTATTTATTTATTTATTTATTTATTTTAGTTAATAGGAACTGCAGGCACGAGAACTTTGGGGTGGCAAAACCCTAGTCAGCCTCTGAGAGGCCTCCCCAAGGCCAAAGAACAGTAGTAATGGAAATAAAGATGCAGATCAGCCAAGTACAAATGCTACATAAAGTCTTAGTTTAGGGGTAAAGAAAAATGCACTCAACCCCCTCCTCCTGTCCCCATTCTAAACCTACATTACCCTAAATAAATGGATGCAAGACAGGAATCTTACCAACAAATATTCTCAGGATAAGGAGCATATGTAACCTCCCAGTTTGATACACATAGCTCCCTACTGTAGGACGATGGCTGGGGTTCTCCTTTACACTTAATACTCTGACATTTGCAGGCATTGAAGTCCTTAAGGATACTGTAAGGAAGAAAAAGGAGAATTTTTCCAAATTTTTACACCTGAAAATGCTGCATACGTAATGAGAAAGACTGGGAATACTGACAAAGGTTTGTTTGCCTTTAATAACCAGAGATCAAGATAGTACTTAGACAACAATGCAGCATTGTATTATGCATGTAATGACCATCATATAAACAGTTACTACCGCAGGTCTTTGAGATCTGACAAATCTGGAAACAAAAAGCAGTCGTGGTTTGAACTGTTTGGTGCTTCTACCAACAGAAACAACAGCAGTGACTCATATTTAAAAAAATATTAAAAAAAGTAAAAAAAAAAAAAAAATCAAAGCCTGAAAGCACTGGAAAAATTAAAGACTGCCAGTTTTCCAAACACCTCCTTATGTAATTACAACTGGTTTCAAATCAAAGCAGACTAAAGGATTAGTCTGCACTCTCATTTCATTACACTAGTATCAAAACTAGCCAATTTTGCCTTGAGTACCAATGCTCAGAAAAATTTTTAACGTGCTGGTATTCTCACAATTCAAAATATTACCCTCTTTCACCCACTCCTAAAATAATCACAATACTTAATTTTATCTTCTAATATTATAGGTTGATTGACAATCGATGTATTTAAACAAAATTTAAACATAGCCAGAATAAATGCTTTCAAAGATTTCTCAAAACACAGCAATAGAAGTGCTAGGCATATATTCAGAGACAGTACAACTGCGTATGCATTACTGTGTAAAAGAAGTTCCACTCCAGATAAGCTGTATTACACTAGCATGGAAACAGTATATATTATATTTGAATGGGTAGACTCTAAAATTCCTGAACATGCTTGTTTCTCAGTTGTGCTCTTAACATAAAGAAAAGAGAGCCACACACACAAACCAAACCAAACAAACGAAAATAACCCCCCAAACCCAGATCTTTACCTTACCAGAATTCAAGTAGTGATGTCAAATTGTCAGCATCTTGTGGCAGCAAGTATTTAAGAAAGTTAATTACACTTTGACAGTTTATTTTTAAAAATACATACAGAGCAAGCTTTAGCACTACCAGCCATACGACTGAGCACCACCATTAAGCAAGCTTCTACAACCACCTGGCTCCACGAACCTCAATCCTGGCTTTCTGTTTCTCCCACCCTATTTCAGGGCTCTGTGGAGCAGAGCCTACTAAGGGCACCAAATAACTTTCTAATTTGATGGTAGCCCTAGCTTTGCATGTAATCTCATCTAATTTTCCAGAGAATGGAGTCCACTGCATCAATTCCAAGCTAAACAAACTAAAATCTTTTCAGTTCTTGATAATTCAACTCGGATGCCTGCAGTGCAACTCAGAACACATGCCCAAGGAGAGACTATCCCATCAAAATCGTATACGACAAATCAGCAGCTACAGAAGGAACGCCAATGCTTATTTCTCCTTTCAGTTTCACATCTTAAAATGTTATTTCATGCTCTAGATTCTCTAAATATGGTGTATAACATTACAAAATGAAGAGTGCGGCAGATTGCACCACACAATCACTACTCGGTTAAAGAGCAGCAAGCAAAACTTTCTCCAGCATCTCAAATTCTTGCAAGGAATTCTATACCTTGGACTTCCTCGAAAAAAAAGCCTGAAAGACTGGCTCTTCTAACATGACTTGAAGGTCAAAAGAATGCAGACAATTTAAGTCAGAGAGGCTATCAAGAATAAAAAAAAGCATGTGTTATTTTTGTAATACAAACATTATTCTGCTTCCCGTTACCCACTTTCTGTTAGTAAAAGATGCTCACAAAGTGCCAGCAGAAAACAAGAGGCTACATGCATTTTCTCTACAAATGACTTAGTAAAAAGCACTGAACAACTTCTGATATTAGGCCTAGGCATGTATCTATATTAACAGGGAAGAGAGATACATAATGTGTATCTATCACCTATGGCCAGGTCAGTCACTGACTCTACTTTGTAGAGATGACTAACTAGCAGTGTAATTTGCACCCACTCTGATAGTTTGGTAACTGGACCATTTGCACAGCAGAAAATGAAGAGATCAGTAACTCATATTAAAGAGCCAGTCAGTCTGGCCTACTATTAACCTACACTGATGGACTGGATCCCATACAGAAGAGAAAGGCTCCTTATCCCAAAAAAATGTCCAGAGCCATTCAGTCCCTTAGATATTTTCTTCACTCAAAGCATAGAGGCTAAATGCACACTTATGGGAAAACTTATTGGAAAGCAAAGCAGACCAAATCCACAGGACAGTGAAGAAGAAGAAAGGAAGAACCACCAACATAAGCAAACAAGCAACACAAACAGCAGATCAGTTGTATTATTATAGTTAAAAGAGAACAAACAAGACGCCAGAAAAAACTTACTAGGTTGCCATGGATTTCTCTTGAAATGTTACAAAAGCCATTCCCAGTGGGTTATTATGAACAGCTTGTTCCTCTTTTGAATATTCTTCCATCAGTTCATTTCTAACTTTGGTATAATAATCTACAGCATCCTCCTGTTGGGATATTGTTGACTGTTACATCCAAGTACCAGATGGCTAACATCTTCATTAAAATAAAGCTTACACAAACCATAGTCTCTCTTCCTCATACTACTTCCACAAATTACAAATCAAGTCACAAGGCGAGACAAACAAACAGGAAGTTTTCCTTGCACTACAATTTTTGCACTAAGATTACATTTCAAAAGTTTTTGGGAATTCCTTTTCTGTACAGTGCAAGAACATGAAGCATGAGCTATCTGCAATAAATGAATAAAGAATTTTCCAAAACTCAACAAAACGTCATACAAAAACTATTCTCTACTCTTCTAACAATTTACCTAGCCGTCATTAAAAATGAACACAATCTCTTACCCTTTCACATCCTCTCATTTCACAACAGCAGAACTGACCACATGGCTTAGGGTTGATTTGGACCCGCTTGCCATACTTCTGATGCAGGTGTTCATAGTAAGTCAGGCTTTTTTCTGCCTGTTTTCTGGACAGAAAAATGCATCCATAACATTTTGCAAGAAAACAGTATCAACATTAAGATTAAGAAGAATATAATCCCCAAGAGAAAAAGTTATGTCAAGGACTGATAACAAACTAATCGGTCACCAGAGATATTCATATATCTTATTTTGGCTCCTTAGTATAATTTATTTTCAAGCCTGTAATAGCATTATACAGCCTACACTTGTAGTGAGGTTCCAGGAAAAAAACCCAATGTACAGCCCAGGAGATAACACTTTTCTCTCCTGTGACCAGCACCTCCAGCCAAAGAAGCAGGGTCCCAGAGTTATTAATTCAATAGTTGAGTTTTCCAACTTGCACTGCCTGACAATAATTAAATACATACATGAATAATCAGCAAGTCAAAGCTTATCTTATGCAACACACAACATATCGCACCTACAAGAACCCCACAACTCACCTTAAAACACAGCTGAATCTAACTGAAGTCCAGACCAGAACTTTAACAGTGGAATTCACTTCCAGTATGTGCAAGCTTAGTACTACTGGTTATGTTGATTAAGGACTGGCAAAGCATTCATAAAATCATGCTAAACTCAGGTAGACTGCAAAAACAAGTACCTTTTTTTGAAGAGATGAATAAGTTTGGCTACATCATAACACAGCTGGACCTCCAGCACAGTGCAGGTTGGGTAGGCAGTTCTGTAAGAACAGAAAATACAATGAAGAAACTGTTTCAAAGAGCATCACTGATGTCCAACTGACATCTCGATCACTTATTTCATTTCTGAATGAGATATCATAAAGTGGAGACTTCCAGAGAGACAGCTGCTGAAAGTTACTTTCATATGAGATGTGCAGCATTATTCTCAAGTAAAGGTCATGTGGGAGCATGAATGGAAAGCGTGGAGACACAGCCACTTTCTTAGATTCTAATTCTAAGATTAGCTAACTTTATTGAAATACAGTCTTTCCTCAATTCTGCCTAAGGAATAAGATATGCTTTTAGAAGAGAGATACATAATAATAATTTTAAACAGTGCAAAAGTCAAAAAAACATTTCTGCTTGGGCAGGTAAAACTACTAGGACAATTTTAAATCTCCTGTTTGTTCCTAATGGTACTACTGAAGAATGGAACTTACGTGAAATGGCCTTGTATCGTCTCTTCTTTTGCATTTTTTGGAAGACCAGTTATAAACAATGTGCACTTAACCTGCAAAAGAAAATGCAACTCCAATTTTGAGAAACTATGTCATGGAAGAGAAAACAAGAATATGAGGAAGGCATTGACACAGCACAAGTAGCTGTGTTGTAGAGGGGAAAAAAGGTAGGGCATTTTGATTTTGATGGGAGCTGCATCTATTCAAGACAGCACCACATTCACCTTCTACATTGGTAATAGATTACACCAAAATTTCACAAATCCCTCCCCAACCCCCTTCTCTCCATCCATTTTCACAATTCACTCAGCAAAGCTTTGCTTTCAGTGAATTCCTTCACACTTATGTCACATTCTAGCAAGCAGGAGGCATCTTAGCAATTTGCCTTTTTAGCATTATCCACTTGCAAACATGCTGTACGTTTTTTTTCACCCCAATACAGAAACTTACTATGTTTTCTTCTTTATATGTGACATACTTCATGTGATGTCTCATGAAGACAACAGTTAGAATCAGGTAAACAACAGCAAAAATGGTGTGCAGCCAAAGAAGATTATTACTGTCAGACAAAATGTTATGAATATGAGAAACAGGAAGAACTAATTGCCTAACTGATACAAGTAGCCATCAAAATGCTAAGCAGATCAGAACCTCTTGTTGAACACAAAACAAGGAAAAAAAGGTAGTTACTGGTAGTCAGTCACGCCTATGCAGATGCCTTGGATATCCATTAGGGTTACTTGCTTATCATAAAATTCTATGGGTAACAGACCTACAAAGGAAATAGATCTTCTAGGACATGGACATTTTTAGGCAGCGTTTGGCTTGCACCTTCTCATTCAGATGCCCAATAGCACACACCATGCTATTTGCCAAAACATTTCTTATTGGCCTTACCAGTTACTGAGCTGAGTGCATAATTGAACTCTCTTTGACACAATCCTTACTCAAACTGAAAACAGCCTAATACAGGGAGTAAATTCTGCTTCTCTGATAGCTCCTTTCTCAAAGCTTACAGAAGTTCTGTTCTGTGAACAGTTCTTCAGTTTTGCAAAGAGCATTAATAATCACAATTAACCTAAAATACAGGAACCTATTTTACAGATTAAAAAAACCAACCAAACAAAAAATCCCCACTAGTTACTAGGATTCATAACATGGTTAAAAAAAACCAAAGTGCATTGGCAGAAACTCTACTGGACATAGTAGCACAGATAGATGTGGATTGATCAAGTAATAAAACAGAAAAAAATTACAGCTTTGTATCTCAACTATTTTTACAGACTGTTTTTAAAACACATAGAAGTAATTTTAATCATGATCTCAGATGGGAGAGATATGCATACACATAAATCTGATGTAAGAGAATTTAAATCATCCCAGTTACACATTCTAGTAAAGCTGTCAGCTTTATTTTCCTTCTGAAATATGGTTTCTTTTAATGTGGAAATTTCTGAAAATACTATCACTAGATGTGCAGTCATTAGCCAAGAGAAACGTGGTGTAAGAAGTAAGAGCTGACAGAGTAGAAGCCAAGTCTCCAGATTTCTTATCAGCACTGTAACTGCATAGCCTGAAGCAGAACATATCCCAGTTCCAGTTGATGAAGCTTGAATAAGTAATTCCTACCCCATGAGCCATGCTGCAAGTATCAATTTATTCGTTTAGAGACTATGGCAGAAAAAAGACATAAGCATAAAAGTACTCTGCAAGATTTACTTACCCAGTTTGCAAGTTTACTATAGTTGTTCTTCCAAAACTATAGGGATCTTTATCTAAGAAGAGCAAAAACAAGTAGCATAATTAATTGCTGCAACATTCACATGCAAAATATCCAAGAGTCAGCTTTTGTTCTATTTTTTTTTTAAAGTTGATATACTTTTCTTAATGCTGAGCATGTTAATTGTTAAAAAGATTTAGAATCATAATCAATGCTGGTTTACACTGTATTGCATTTTAAAGTTGGAAAAAAAACAAACCTCCAGGATTATACCACATTCAACCCATCAAGAGAAATAATAGATTATTTTAAAAATCTAAATACTAGATCCTTGTAGCAGTTCCCTTTCTCCCTCCAATCTCCCTTCATGTCGATTTTGTTTAGGGATTTGAATGTATTTCCTTCACATTTTTACTCCATCTTCACTGATTTTTTATCTCAGTTTTTTAAACTGCATTAATTCAGCGTTGACAACACAGTACCGATAACCTTACTAAGGTCAAAAATGAGAAAGTTTATATGACATTGTTTCTGTAGACTGTCAAGTATTTTAAAAAATGATAATGCAAGTGAGTGAAAATGAGTACATGTTCACAAAGGAAAAAGAGCTAAGTGTACCTGGAAAGCTAAACAATCTTCTAGCATAGACTGTTAAATCACATTGCATGTTAAGTCATCACAACAGAAAGAATTCCAAATGCACAAAATCCACACAGAGTAGAAGGGGAGGAAGAAGGGGAGAGACACTAAAACTTCATATTTGTTTATCAGCTGTACTTCCTAGCATCACGAAAATTAATGCAGGAAAACAGAAGCTGTAATCTCCTGCTTTAGAAGGCCAGCCATACTCTGCCATTTGAATTAACAGAGAGCATCTATTGGTATCCAAGCTACTACAACTTTTATCAAATTGTAGTTAGAGGAGGACAGTGCACACAAATTGATGCATATTACAAAATCCATTTTGGTATAAATATACAGATAGTAGCTAGACCAGAAGGGGGAATTACATTCTGTAAGTTCTTTGAAAGCACCAGCATCTCTCTCTCTACTTCACAAAGGAGGTGAAGACAGCAACTAGGGCACCAGTTGTGTTGGATTTGATTCTGTAAAACTATGAATGCTGGCTAAGAACACAGAGATGGAAAGCAAGGAAGGAGAACTGACTGAAGTGATAAAGGGTCCTTTGAAAGGACAAAAAAAGATTTGCAAAGAAGAAAAAGAGAACAGCAATGGTCTTTAAGAAAGCAGATATTAATAAAAACAGAACTGCTAAGAAAGAGCTCATAAAAAGGAAGTCAGAGATGGCGGCTCCACAAAGAAACAATACTAAAGGCACAAGTACAACGTATCCCATTACATACGAGGGCTATGTCACAAGGCTCTTTAAAACACAGGTAGGAGTAAACTGAAAACAAAAACTAGGCCACATTATTAAGGACAATAGAAGAGAATAAATTATAGGGACAAAGATAGCAAGGTCAGTACACAAAATAAGATGCAATTGTTGTTGTATAAGAACAAAGAAAACAAAAGGCAAGCAAGTACTCCGGAAAACCAAATGAATTACTGCTTTTTTTTTTGCATCACTGTTCACCAAGATGATCAACTGTGAAGAACTGTGTAAACATGATCTTGACAAGACTGATACAAAGCCAGGTATAAAGTGGGTTTATAAGGGCTCATTATCAAAAATGGAAGAAAGTTTAAACAGGGTTTAACAGAATTCTGTCTACCAGTATTCTCATTAGCAACCTGAATGGCAGACTAGAGGACACACACACTGTATTTGTCGAGTGCGAGTTAATAATGGAAAGAGGTAGGTGTCACACTGACAGACATAATCAGGACTAGACTGCAAGAAACATGAAATAATTCTTTGTTTAGTCAGCATGGACAAATTCTCAGTGAGAAGATTTGTCCAGTTTTGAGCCAGAAACCAAGACAGAAGGGAACAACGGGAGACAGTCTAGCTAGATAAAAGAAAAGTTCAGAGGATGGCTGATGATTTTATGATCAGCCAAATGGAAAACATTTCTCATTAATGACCAAATTAACTGGTCTGGTTTATCAAAAAGAGGAAAAAGCACAGATTAATTGATAATCCTCAAGCAGCTAAAAGGATATTGCAAAGAGGAAAAGAATAATCTATTCTCCCCAGTGACAGGTCAAAAAAAGTAATGATCTTAAATTAAAGCAAAAAGGATTCAGACTGGACACTAGAAAAAGATTTCTGAACTGTGAAGACAGTTTCCATTGGCAATCAACACCAATAAAATCCATAGACTGCTTAGATAAACATCAGTTAAGAGAGCATAGGTCAAGTTAACCTTGCCTTGAGCCTTCTAGGTCTGGTCATCTATGTCTGCATGTGGTCTGCCATCTTGTTTCTGACAACAGTTTTTGCCAGACGTTTAAAGAACCCTCTACTCTTGTGCAAATTTCACACAAAATGACACACATATCAGACTGAGGGGGGGAAACAAACAAACAAAACATTACAAAGTTTACCAAAATAAAAAAAATGCAATTATATAAAACACAAAATTCTTCTCAGAATACAAAAAAAATTCTTACCAAGTAGATCACCTGATAGGTTGACAGGCAATATGACACACACAGACAAAATGCTGACAGCAATCAACAAACAGATGATGTGACGCTGGAAGGCAAGGTAATGTATGGCATCTTCACCACATCTCTCATGAATCTCGTCATCACTGCATCATAGACAGAAAAGCACATGGTCAGTCTACTTAATATCCTTGGGGTTTTGGGGGGTGGTTTTTGAACATACACTAATTTCTCAGTCTACCCAGTGACATCTCCATCAATCCTTATTGATTTTCAACATCGTGTGTTCTTTCACGCATAAATTTAGGTTCCAAAAGTGTCTTTTTCTTGGGCAGTATCAACATACAAAAATTAACATAAGGGAATTTAAGAGGGAAACAAGTAATCTGAAAAGCAAATATAAATCCAAGTTCTTTTTTATCACCCTAAAAGAGGACAAAGTCATTTGCTGTGACCTGCTTCATGACAGTCACAAGGTGTTAAGTCTAGCTCTCAAACTTTAAGATCACATTGTGACAGTGTTCACTCACCTCCATAAAGGTGCCCCATGAGGAAAATTACAACAGAATCACCTTACTCTTATGACACCCAATTAACAGATGACATTAATAGGCTCTGGAATGAACTCTCATCATCTATCCATTGTCAGCAGGACAGATTGTTAAAATAGGAGTTCTTGAAAAAGGAAGGAACTGAACTAGCAAAACCAGAGAAAGACAGGCTTAATTCCCACCCCTTTTTTGTTTCAATGTGCCCAAGCTAGAAATTCATTTTTAAAAATCATGATTTACTAAGTCCCAAGAGATACAAAGAACGAACATCACACATCTAACACCCAGTTTCTGGGAAACAGTGGGATGGCCTTTTCCTAGTTAGTCAATTCCAGCCCCAACTAAACCACCAGTTGTTCACAGAAATCCTTGCAGGGAAACCCCATTTCCTGCCCAGGGCCCTATTGGCTTCAAACAGGGGAACACCCACACAGTACTCTTTGAAGGGTAAAAGCCTAGAGCCTAGTTATTAGCTCAGAATCTATATGAATGCCATAGATTCACTTAGGGTACACACTGTCCCAAGAGCAGGAAGTCCCTGGGCTGCCAGCAAAAGGACAACTGCATCCTGAAGAAGTATTCCCATAAGCTGATCTTGTTTTCATATTCTTTTTCTACCCCACAAAAGGCACCTGTATTACTGTTTGTATGAAATTCCACCTACTCAAGGAAAAAAAAAATTTTGAATGTAACCACCTTTTTTAATTAAAAAAAAAAAAAAAGAGCAAAGCAAACCACAGCTCACTATTTCCATTTCATATACTTACTGCATGCGAAAAGCAGCTGTCACCCAAGAACAAAACCCCTATAAATAAAGAAGGAAGTTTTTAGGAGCTAACACACACAAAAATAGTCTCTAATCTGTACAAGTAAGAGAAGTGTTTCTATTAAGCCAATCTCTTAGCTAAAAAGATGGCAGTTTGTTGCTCTGAAATCATCATTTAGAAACATACAGAAAAATACCTAATACTCTACACACTTTCTACAAGGTACTTTATATATCTGTCTTCAGAGAGTATTTAAGTTTGGGGTTTTTTTATTATTACTTGCACATTTATTGCTTGGGCTTCTTGAATTTATACAAGTGTATCCAAATCCCATCTCCAATGAACTGAAGTCAAGACTGAGGCTTCTACGAAATTATTTTTTAATGGGTTGTTTTAGAGCAGAAAAGGTGATTTTTTTTTTCCAAAACCATTTCCAAAGATTCTCCAGTTTCAAGGATAAACTCCATGAGAGTCTAATACAAGCTAATCAGTTAAACGGTAGTTAGAAACAATGCTGTTATTACAGTAACAGAAAGGCTTCTTGTTTAGGTTTACAAATACTCCTATGAAACTGTACAGCAGAGATCACATCTCGCTGAATGTTCCAGTATAGGTCAAAAAAACCCTTCTCTCTCCTTTCACGTGAATAGTATCCAACTAGAGAGACATGTTTTTATTCAACAGTTTCACTGAGAAAGTTGCTTTATGGTTTTAAAAAAGATGAAGAAAACTACACAAATACAAGAGCAATCCTGATCAAACACCAGTATGCTTTTAATGCTCACATGATTATTTAGTTGCAAGGCTAGATATTAAGCTAATTGATACATATATAACATGTTAAAATGTAGGCTGCCACCACTGGACAACTCTCGCATGATTCATTCTGAAACTGCGACACAAAAGATAGAGATGTGTGAATTCAAAGACTCCAGAGAGACCATGGATGGAAACAATTAAAAGTTTGGCCAAAAAATTATCTTCCACTCCAAACCAGTTTTAATATTAAGAGCACATGGCATTATTAGTAGCCTCACACTTGCATCCAATTTTCTCATCTTTGTGAGGAAGACAATGTACTATAAAGACCAACTAGGTATTATTTGCAATGTGAACATAATGTAATCTTTTGGACTGTTATTTAAGCACAGATTATTTAGTATTCTTTTTTTCTTCCCCTTTGAAGCTCTAAAACATAGTCCCCCTCCTAATTAAAAAAAAAGTCACTTAAAAACAACGACACAAGATACTGGTTTATGATATGGCAATAGTTTGTCAGGAAACGGAGAGAGGTTACATACGGTTCTATAAAAACACAATACACAATGCATTATTAATTTCTGCACATAGATGGTCTTCCAGTTTAATGACTGGTTCATTGGGGTAGGTGGAATGGCAAATTATGACCAATACCATTAAATAGTTGACATTTAAAAAAACGTATCAAAACTCTAGAATACTTACCCTATCATATTCAAGATCTTCAGGTACTGACGAAGATGTTGACAATCGGTTGTATCTTGATTCACTAAAATACATTGAATGATGCTTTTAAGTATCTTTAATAACAGATGATGGAATCCCATAGAATTATTTCAACTTTAACAATTCTGAAATAACTAAGGGAAGTAGTAAAAAAACACTTTTTCACTTATGAAAGCTGTGATTTTCATCTTGTAGCATATGCTTAATTATAGAAACTTTCGTTGTGTCTCATGTTGAAAAGGGAGGACGTGAGCTCCCAGTGTGAGAGCATTTAACTGAACTAGAAAGAAAACAATGTTTTATTAGAATATTAAAGCACAGTGACATAAGAAAATGCAACACAGGTTTGGAAGCCTAGCGTAGATCAGATTTGCAAGCTAGCTTCCTGTTCAGATATTCCTTATTACAAGACATCACCTCTTTTCCCTCCACCTCTCTTCCTTCTTCTTCCAGCCACTACTCAGAACTTCTCTGCACAATTAAGTCCCTTACCTGCAGGGCCACCACCTCACACAAATTCAGTCCTGTAGCAAGGCTAGAAACATTTAGAGACTCTGTAGCCCTCCAATATAGCAAAATACCTGGTTTTAGTTTGCTGCTAAAAAGAAATGTTGCAATGGTGAGGTGCCCATAATTACAGGACAATGCAGGTTAAAATGGAGCGTATTCATAGGTGTATCTATGATAATTTTGACCTAGCTGGCTCAGGTCTCAATCCAGCAGGGACAATAACGTAGGCTCCTAGGTGTCTGACTGCTCAAGGACCTGTTTGTCCCATGCAGGCCTATATAGCTCACTTGGAAGCCTATACTACAGCACCTTCATTCTTGCTGCCTGAGCTAGCTGTCTCGGTTACAGTCCATCTTTTTTTTTTTTTTTTTTTCACCATCTACTTTTCACAATTGTACATGGATTACACCTAAAACCACGTTTAGAGTCCTTTCCTGTTGCTTAGTTGTGAATTTACCACAACTTAGTTACACCACTAATACCAGGAAAAGGCTCGCTGTTAAAGTTTACCCACTTCATAAATAAACAGCTAGCTTTTAAACATCCCAAGACATCATCCTGTAGAAATAATACTATTAAAAAAAAAATTTAAAAAAATAAAAATCAAAGGCTCATTTGCAGTATTACTAAATATCAGTGAAGAATTTCGGAAACCTGCAGTGATACATTTCTTTTTTATTTTTAATCACCTTCAAAAATATTATGGCACAGGCTGTATAGAGAGCTCTGGGAAGATACTGGGCTTGAGCCAAGATAAACAAAATAGTTAATATCCTTTTATCACAGAAACACACTGTAAACATCAATGCATAGGTATGTGACATGTTAGCAGACGAGTAGCTTATTTTCTTACTTCCACTTCCTTAACCCACAACTGTAGAATGAAATTCATGACAATGGCAAACACACAACTTTATTACTGACACTGCAAAGAGGAACTTTGTGAGTGGGACATATTTCACACAAAGCAGCATGAAGACATTTTTAACAAATATGTGCATGCGATTACAAACACAACTGATACAAATGCACTTAATTTAAGCCCTATTTAGTGAACTTACTTCCACATTCCCCAAATGGTTTCAACAAATCAGTCTGCATATCTTTACCTTTCAGCTTCTGACACCAGAGCAACACGACCGTAGTCCCAGAATCTCTTTCTTATAATGGAAAACAGTAATATTAAAATCTAGAAAATAAAAACAAAGATCTTTGAATATTTATTTTTCCGCTTCATAATAATTATTCTTAGGTGTATAGGAACTGTCAAAAAATGCTGTCCTAGTTCCTAAGCCAACTCTCATATGTTAACCAACCCAGTGGTGGCCATGCTACAAACCAACCTGTCTGGAACCACAGGACCAGAACACCTGCCTTCCTGCTCTAATTTAAAAAGAAGGAGAACTGCATGCAAAAATACTTATAAACTGCAAGTGCATGAAGGTTTGTGACAGGAAAAGTAGCAAGTAGTACTTGAGAGGAAGTAAAAACTTTCATAAATACACCTTTATTATTATTCATTACTTAATGACCAGAACTATGATGGAAGACTTGACATTTTATTTTATTTTTAAACAGTCGTGTAAACAGGCTGTAGGGGCTCAACTATTTTCTCAAGTATGAGAATTCTTTTTATCCTCAGCAAAAGTAATGTATTATTATAACTTATAAAGCCCAGAAACTTATATTTGATTTCTGTGTTAAAGGATTTTCAAACATGGGTTTCTCTAGGTTTGCTTTATTAACAACTCAGAGTTAGGCCACCACTGCAGCGAATGGCAAAAGACTACTCAAAACCACCTTCTCTCTCTATATATACGATTTCCAAAACAATATGCAATTGATAATTTGTCAAAAGAAGTTCTAGGTGTTCTTCCACGAACTCTCAGTTCTCTATTCTCCAGTGGTTTCAAAAGTCCAATACATTTTCCTGTCTCAACTTGTCTTGTCCCGGTTATTCTGAAGTTAATGGTCATAGGCAGAAGGTCTCCAATCACCACAGTCACTTATCTTCTTACACATCAAAGACCACCTTTCAATTTCTGAAAATAACTCAGGTTATTCTATTAATTCATCTTACTCTACAGTTAATCACTCTTATTCTTATGTCTTAGATCTAAGATGTATGATCCTTCTTCTGTTGATTCAGCTTGTCTGGATTTTAAGCCAGCCATGGTGAGGGCTACACATGGGACAAATAAGCAGCTTATGCATATTGTTTTATAAGCACCTGCATTCTATTAATCACATATAAAGCAATCTCTATCATTAGTTATATGTCTAACATGAATAGTCTTAGAAACAATGAGGCTTAAGGCCTAGTTCCCTTTACATTCTGCAATGTATTTTTTACTTTTTGTATTTTCACTTTTTGAATAGGCTAAGAAAACAAACAAAAAAATTCACTATGTATTTCATAGATGCATTTCATTTTCTTTTTTTTTTTTTAAAGAAACAAGTTGCTCTGTACGAAGCAATGAAGCAGAAGTAACAAGGCCTGTTTTCCATGCATATGTAGCATACGCCCTCACCTTCTAGCTGCTCCTACATCCCATACTTGTTTGGCTGGAAAGTGGTGCTAGTGATGTAACTTATTTGGATCTATGCAAATACCAACTGGCCAGCCAGGATACATGTCAAGATTATCCATGTGTCAAGATTACACGGCTAATTTCTGCATTTCACAATTAATTAAACCTTCTTATAATAGCCTTCCTCACAACACGGAATATAAATTTAGATCTTTCTCATTCATCTGGCCATTAAACTTCATGCAATCAGGAATTTCAAGATATCAAGTTCCCTAGAGTCTTTAACAACTTTGGTTGAAATTAGCTAATGTATTCTGCGGTTATTAGGAGGAACTGCCAGACAAAATGGGAAGACAATGCAATATATAAACCTCACTTCCTTAGGAAACCAGCCTAGAAATAATATGTAGAAACCCATCAACTTACAGTTACTAAAGGGATGTGCTGTAAACATGTCACGAACGTAGGAATACAGGAGTTGCTCAATAAATTGCAGTACTTGGAGAGGAGCCTTCTACATCTCTTCTACATCTAACTCTCTACCTAATGATGTTTGAGAGGAGGGTTCAACAGCAAGGAACTCAAAAGCAGAGACTCAGTATCTTAAAATCCAATCACAGCTTTAAAAAAAAAAAAAAAAAAGACGACACCCCCAAACACTCCAACTAAATCTTATTAAATGCTATGCAATCAATAAATAGTGTACACCCTTGGAAAATGGATTTATGATAGCACGCTGCATACACCAAATCAATAGCAAAGAATGCCACTACATAAATTTTAGGAACATCCTCTACGTTCCTACAGAACTACCTGCTCAGACCTTACACACAGTGGTTTTGTAGAACTCAGGAACTATGTGATCCCTTTAGTCTCATTTTACTACCAGAAACCTCACTTATCAGGCCAATTTCAGATCTACAGCTCTTTTTCTGGTGGCTTAAGACCACCTAGGCCAAACTTAACAGAAAGAACTGTAAGTTTTATTGGAGTCTCAGGCCTCCAGACCAACAACTAATCGTACTCCTCCTTTGGTCAGGACTGAGCTGATCAGGACATTATTTCCTCAATGGCTTCAGGAAATCTAATTTTTAAAAAATCTGTGAAAGGACAGATTTTCCATATTGTATTTCCTTCTGAAAAACAATCAAGTTAGCAACAGCATCCTCTTCCTGAAAAGGTACCCAGTACTTAAACCCAGAGTAAGGAAAAGGTGTTCTTGCAGTTAAGACAAAACATAGAAATTTGAGCTACCGCTACAAAGCCCACCATGACTCCACATGCAGACCGCATAATATTGCACTCTCTCTACATCTACACATCCAACATACAGCGACACTGTCATCCCACATGTACGTGAACCTTTATCAATACTTGAAAAGTGCTTTGATGTTCCCAAGATGGCCTTAGCACATTTATTATTCTGAAGATTCTCAGAAACAAATCCCTACCTGATAAATAACAGAATTCTGAACAATCTAACTTTTGAAAAGGCCAGAAGGATTTCCAATACAAGAAACAGAAACTGGGCTTACAAAAAAGAAGGTTACATCAAGCAGCAGGACAGTTGGGATTCCACCAAAAGTTACTCCTTGGAGCACCGTGCTGCCCTGGGCAGTGCTGTAGCAGTATGTCTCATTTGTTGAGTTGAAAGGTAGACTTCTATTCCAGAAGTAGACTAGATGAGAATGTCCAAAACCCAGAAAAAAGAAAGGGTTCATTTTGGTTTTCCCTTAAAAAACAAAAAGAAAAGAAAAGGTGAGACAACCATGTGAAAAGCTTGCCTTGGTATTTGTGAGATGTGCTAACATTAAAAGTACAAAAAGTGCAGGAAGACTCAACCAGGAAACCACTTTGGAAGCGAAGTCATATTTGACAATCTTTCCCTGTAAAATATTTCACAATAACTGACAGGCTCAGTTAGTAGCAGTGCCCAAGCAAGGATTCCAGACATCTAACCAACTATGTCCTCTACAGGCATCCAAGGAAGACTGCAGAAGACCCACACAAACTAAACTTCTCTATCTTCTAATCTGTAACATTGAACTACTTATTCCAGCCTGGATTCTGATTCTAGGAGTAACACCGGGCATTAGATATTCCAACAATAGCAGTTTGAAGATTTTGCTCCTAGTTGATGAGCATGTGTGAACAATACCGGCTTGTGAACTTTCTATTCAAATGTCAAGACCTTGAGATTATTAACAAATTCACCACTAATTCCACAGAGAAGAACTACTACACAAATACACATGCTCCTCTCTGTTCTTAAAATATTGTGTGATTTTCCTTTTTTCATAGAATTCAGCTAAAAGAACAGCATAGTAATTACAGTTTATCATGAACAAGAAAGAACAAAGAGTATTTCTAATTTTCTATGAGAACAGCCATCTATCTCATTTTAGTCAACTGACCTGCTCAGATAATAGTAACATACAAGAATGCACAAGATTTGGCTATTGATACAAAGGTCTTTTTATCAGTGCAAGCAATTGCTCACTTTTTTGGGGGCTTTCGACTTCAAACATTTGTTTTCTCGGATCTTATTAACTTGATGATTCCCATGTACTTTACACAAAAGCATGCTTCATGCAGAACGCACTTCTGACTGATAAATTCATAAAGAAAGCATACCCCACAAAACTCTATCCTTTGAAGGCAAATATCGTAGGTCCTCATCACCCAGGTCCAGGGACACTATTTTTGGGATATCATGCCTCTGTAAGAGGAATGCACAGGTCTCTGATGACACCACTATTCTGGATGCTGAAAACAAAACAAAACCAAAACGAGAATATGAATAACTACAAGCTCTCCCTTTAAACACTGGAAAAACAGCATGGAGAATACTTCTCCCAAAACAGCATTTACTAAATGTTGGACTGCGTGACACAGGAGAGAAGAAACGTCGTCCCAACTGTTGTGTTTCTTAACAGGAAGAAAAAAAAATACACACGCAGTTGTGCCATGAATCTGTCCTTGCTTTCTAAGGATTGAAATTTAGGGCTGACGGAAGAGAGACAGTATTTTTGAACATACTTTGGAAACCTTCACCACGACAACTGCAGAGACCGCACGCTAAATTTTAAGTAACACACTGGACCTTATCAGGCGCCGCTTCCAATTTTTGAAAGCCATTATTTTTAAACCAGCCAGCTGTCAGGAAGATAAGGGCAAGACCTCCCACGGGTGGAGTTGCGCTGCAGCGACCAAACGAGCCCGCAAGCAGCGGCACGGCGCGACCCTTCCTTCCAGGGAACGCCAGCAGCCGTACGGGCTCTGGGAAGGAGAAACCGTCGCCCTTTTTTTGGCTGGCACCCTGACAGTGTCCCCGGCCCTCGGAGGGGCGTGGAATCGGGGCTGGCGGGGCCAGCTTCCCCAGGCGGGCGGCACACCGGCGAACCCCAGGGCTCCTAAGGGAGGGAGCGCAGGGAGTCAGCCCCTCGGCTCCGCGCTCGCCTCTGGGCAAGGAGGACGCGGCGGGGGTTAGCCCCTCGCCCTGCGCCGCCCCTCCACAGGGAGGGGACGCCCCCAGGGCTGCCCCGGCCGCCCGTTCCCCGCCCCGAGCCCGCGGAGGGCCGGGGTCCCGCTGCGGCCGCTGACGGGAGAGCGGGGAGGCGGCCCCGAGAAAACGCGGCCGGCTGGAGAGGAGCGGGAGGCGGCCGGC